TAGTCAATGGAGGTCAACCACTTGCTCCAGTGGACTTACTATGAGTGCACATCTCGTAAGTACTCCCTTGACCCAGATTAATTATCCGGCTGGACAGTGCTGCTGCCTTACTTATCCTCTTTGTTTCCTGTCGCTGCCCGTTGAGCAGTCACTTTCCGAAAATTGATTGTAATGCTATCCATTCAGTAAGAACAAGTGATGATGAAGTCCAAATGATGGTCAACCCCAAGCAATGTCATTAATCCTACGCCACTACTCACAAACAACTGCGAGTTAAATATTAAAAACTATTAAGATTATCATCAATTATTACTATCATTATCATTGTCAATTATTGTCATCGTAAGCAATAACTGAGTCGGCACTGATCTCATCGCAGTCAGATCAGCTTGATTCTCACTCCACGAGATCATATGACGGTGAGTTTGAAGCTTTTAGTTCGTCCCATGTTGTTTCAGTCACGCTTCTATCCGCAGATGTACCATGCGGTTTGCAAAAGAGCTACGTAGATAATATTGTTCGGTTGAATTTATCGGTGTGATGTTTGAACTGAAAGAAGAAAATGAAATCAAGGTACCCTCCTGAGACACGTCTCTTTCGATTTCTCCACATATTTTATCATTGATTACCGCTATTAGCAGCTTACCAAGTGAATCGATGAACTGAGGAATGTGTGTGGAAGTCCGAAGGATAGTCAGTTCAAATGTATCATTATCCATTGTCCCACATCACTACTCACAAGTATGTGAGTTAAATGTGAAAAAACATTCAGAGAATCTATCCAACCCTTCAGGGAAGTTACTTTTCTGTTAAAACCTTCCTGTGTTCTCGGATATCACCGCTGATAACTCGAGACGGCTGGTTTAGTGATGTAGTGCTCACTGATTCACGATTACATACTTGACTGGCCGTTCTCCTGACCGCAACCTTGGACTTGTAGTACCCTACACCTCCGAATACGGTAAATTAAGCAGTTCTCGCGCAACCAGCGTGTATCCGACGAAGGTCCTCTATTTCACCATTCCTGTTCAGTTCTTCGTCACAAACGAGATGCTGTGAAACTCCCTGATAGATCTCCCAAATACTGCTTTCTCTTAATAGCTGAAGAAGTCCTTTGGGTTCTAGATTAGCTTAACCTATTTTCTGAATGAACGAGAAACACTCAAAGCACAATTATCAGACTAACAGACTTCATTCTTGTTCGCCGTGCGCACGTTACATCGTTAAACTGTGAGACTACAAGATCGCGGTTCGATTCCGCATTGTTTATAGATCAGTGTTCAAGTATTGATCGATTAATTTCTTGTGCATAGGCATAGGTTGTTTCATAAATTACGGTCGCACAATGAATGTGTAAACCATACAAATGTGAGACTCAAGCGGCGTATGTTGAAAGGTGAAACACTGGTATTATATGGTGAACGTCGTCGTGTACAGAGCAAATGAAGTGTGAACTGTAAAGTTCAGATGCAGTGGGATACATGGGATTCTCTAAAAGACCTGTTTGCAGCGAGTTTCGTCCACGAGGTACAATTTCTCAAGTGTATTCATGAAACGGGTTTTTGAAAGTAATCCGATAGTATACAGAAGATGTTTTCTTCAGTTTTCAGTCCCACGAGTACCTGATTGTCCGGGAGATCAATACAGTAAGCTGCTCCATCCACGAAATTGCCCTCGCGAGGTGCAGGATGTAGCTTTCCACGACTTCGCCTAATCACAAGGCAAGTCAGGCCTTGGTGTTAACGTATCCATTTGTTCCTGTGCTCAGCCTCTCCTGCCCCTTCGATACTTACTTTTACTAACTATTTATCAATTATTTATTTTTCATATATTTTGCTTGTCCTTTTCTTCAACTTTATCCCTAGTTTCCTCTTTTCTCTGAACCAGCCTAATCTTGACTCTTATCCTTACTCGTGCCTTGGCCCTTTCATGCCCACCGGTTCTCCAATATTTTTGCTGGTGGGGATACTGTTAAGGAAGACAGCTCCGTACCCACACGCCTGAATGGATTGAATCAAACAACTCAATTGGCCATGCACACTCCCCATGCAGTTCAAAGTTTGCTCGGTGCGTCAAAGCAATCTTAACAGCCCAGGTAAATGCAACTTAAGCCAAAATGAGAAACCAGACTAAAACACTGTGTTTGAGCGTAAAATACTGCGGCCTCGCATGGTGCTTTCAACGACAAATGTGGAAGTGTGTAGAATCAACGCGAGTTGACGTTCAGTCCAACAATAACTTGACGTGAAACGCTAATGACCAAACAGAGTCATTGCGGTACTCACACATGATTTCAGCCTGTGACTGATCCTCGACAGCAAACCGGATTCACGTCCATGCTCAGCAGCTGTATCTCTACACTACAGAACCAAAAAATAAACTGCCGAATTGCTATAGGACACGGCGAGACTGCTCCTTAACGTGGTGTGATGGCTTGTGCACTTCGCTGACCCAATAAGCTACACAGGATGGCTTTTTTCAAGCCGAAGATCTAACCGTGCCTGGAAGGTCGAAGGGTAGAGGTCAGATGAAGTCCAGTCTTTTGGTCATTCAGGTTGGGGATTCGACTAGAATTTGTGTTTCAGTCGATAAAAAAATAGTAGAGGAGTAATTGATCCAAGGCCTCCACTCCGCTTCGCCCGCTGCCCTGTGTCTAGGTTCTTATCAGAGCTAAAGGCTTTGGTTGAGAACCCTAATCGTTCTGCTTAGTGGCTGAACACTAGCAGTACCTGTCCAACAAACCCCAGTGCATATGCATAGCGAGTTTCTCAGCCATCAGTGAAGTTCGCTTCTTTGTATTTCGCTGTACGATGATGATGATGACTGGATAGCTCTTTCGACCTGGTTGAGTCTCATCACCAGAGCGAATCAGCTAATCCACCTGAGAATTCAAGACGTAACATCACCGATAGAACGTAGTTATGTTACCTATTCAGCCACCGGGTAACTGACCAGACCGGTTATTTTCATTTTCCGTGTTCACAAAGTAGCTGTAATAGTCGGTATAGACACGAGTCCGGAATACCGTTGATTTCTTTCAATAAATTAACCGCTATTCTAGTGACCTTTTTCCTGCGTCTCGTTGAAGCTAGTACTTCGGTAGGTCAATTCCGGTGCATTTCGGATTTCATGTCCATTCCGATTGCTATAGCTTTATCCTATGTAGAAAATGAAAAGCGGTCTGATCAGCTGCCCGGTGGCTGAATGAATAGTATGCTTGTGTTCTACGTATGAAGTACGGAGTTCGATCCCCAGTCGGATCGATGGATTTGCACTGCACTGCACGGGATCGAAACAACTGTCCAGTGTTTCATAGCTTTGGGAATCACACTTCATTTACTCTGTACACGACGAAATTCACCTTTGGAATTGATCTAATTTTTTTTACTGTCACTGTTATCTCAATTTCCATTTCCATTTGTCGGAAGTTAAATTCACTTGTGTGCAAGACTATCGCCAACTACCGGTTTTTCGTTTCTGAATATGGAGTGAATGAGTTAGCAAAACAAAAGTACGCGGTCGCGCGAATCTCTCAGCAGACAGTCTGTTGTCAGTAGGAATTCGGATGCATTGACTCCTGTGGTTAGGACACATACATTTGTTGGATTCATATATCGCACTATGTCCTGCATACATTTTTCGCTACAGGGAGTAGAAAAATGCAGATCGACCACTAGCATGTATTGAAAAGATGCGAGGGACTCAATTTTAACTGTTCGCTGAGCTTGACAATTTGTCTGTAAATGTCTCATCACCGACTGTGGTGACATTTTCAGTGTTTATGGAATAAAAACTGCATCAGGGATTCGGCCCAATACGGGTTCATTGTATTCTTCATTTTTGGCTAAAAGACCTTATAATCGGTTGATTGACTGCACCGAACGATAGGAAACCGAGACAACCATCGTTTGTGTGTGTATCCATTCGTTCAATTCTACTTTATGGTTAATACCTTGAATTTGATAGTAGAAGACACCCATCAACTATCGATATTTATGTAGTTTAGCCCACTTGGGATGAAGCGAACGGATTTGTAATCTAGAGGTAAGCCGTCATGTGTTTGGGAGTTTATCTGGGATAGACTTGTTGGATCATCGAATTTAGATTAGTAAGCTTCGCTGGCCAGGGCTCGCATTGCGGATGCCCAGCTGTCGTCTGTCATGTCGCGCTTTACTCGCTGTAGCCGTTCCGGGTTGAGGAAAACCACGTCGAGATCAATAAATAACATGGAAAAGAAGCACGAAGAAATGCACAGCGGAATTATTTCCAGTAAGTATCTGTCCTTTTTCAGTTTGTAACGGGTTAGTTGGAGTCACTGGGGAATATGGCAGCAAACCGACAGCAATGACGTTCTCATCATTTCTTATCAAGCCAGATTGCTTGGAAAGGTGTGTATGCACTGCCAGATAATGTTCTCTCTGTGTTGACCATAAAGTTTCACTCCTTCCTCTCCCTCAAAGTATGCCTAATCCCTTTCCACCTTGGATATTCTCACTAAATTTGGCAGCGATCAGTGACTTTTGCTGTACGATGATGATGCAATTTTTTCATCTCTACTCGGGTCAGAATGTTCGGGCTTTGTTTTAATCATGTTAACTCTCGCCCTGTCAAATCAAGCTTTCTTACACATTCGTACTTGCTCAGTATGTATTGTGTGCTAAGAAGCGATCGATTGTACAATGCCGATGATAATGATTGACTGTCTTCCACAAAATATCTGGTTTTGATAAGTGGTAATTGGGGCGTTTTTCCTAATCGCAGTGTCATATCATTCGGTTATCTGAACTGGTAAATTGGGCCTGTAGACGGACCTGCAACGGGCCTTCATGGAATGAGCGTAACATGATCCCAGGCAACAACTAAGCTTTGTGCCAACCAATTCTGTAATTGCATGTCCTGCTACTCACATTCTACTTATTTTGAATTATACTATTCGAATTCTTTGTTCATCTCTCGTAGCCCCGTGCGAGACCCAAGATTCGCATACAGTTTCCCAGCCCATGGAATCGGACGATCTACCTCACGACCGAACAGAAGAGGTGAAAGAAACTGATGAGGTGGATCATGGAGAGGAGGAGGACGACGACGAAATAGAAGAAGCTGAAGCAGAGATTTCCGATCCAGACGCTTCTAATCGGATGTATCGACATCGTGGTTACATAAATCGGGGCGGGGACAGCGGACAAACAAGATTGCCAGTCACTGCGTCTTCCTCTTCAGATGATGATGACTCCGAGAAGATGTTCGGACGTCGCGGAATAAACGGGGACAGTGATGAGGACGATGAGGAGGACGAACAAGAGTTGAGTACGGAGTTTTGGAGTTCTGACGACTCGAGTTTACTCCACTCTCAGGTAAATCCTCCCTAGAAATATATAATACAGAAAATCGACCTACTTTGCTTCACCCAAGGTTGAAGTTTTTTCATTCTTCATACCGCATGCCCTTCAATTGGCTGCGCTACTTTTGTGTTCACTCTCACAAATTGGCTGACCTCATTTATCTACTAACTTATCGCGTGCACATAAACACGTGTGTGATATGCATACAGGAATCGTCGTTAAGCCAGAACATAGACGATTTGCTCTTCAACATGCTTGGTTTTACACGTTTTCGACAAGACAAGAAGCGAAAATAAGTTATAAGGCGGGACAGTGACCTACATTATCTCCAGTTGGTGCGGCAAGTGTGAAACGTTGTTTGCTTTCTCTGCCCAAGTGTTGCATGTCGACCTAGGTTTTCCCCTTATCGGAGCACAATTATTACCAATCCAAGCATTGTCCCTTCTTGCTCACAAATTAAACTTAGCTCCTTCTACGATGCATTAATATATCTTTCATTGCTCCCCTAGTTGATAATTTAATTTAAATTGTTGGTGATTTTAATCAGGGATCAACTCATCCATGTTTTTATTTTCTTTCGGTCTATCAGCTCTTTATCTCTAGCACCCACCAGAGGAGATGCTGTATTCCATTTCGAATTCAGTTCACCCGAGTTACGAGAACTGATTTTCATTACTTTGGCAACAGATGCTATATTGGACTGGGTAATCACTTACCATCCTAATATTTCCCCTCTCGAACTAAAGACGCCAATCTCTACTAGTGACCATTGTCTCCTATGACTTAAACCAAAAGTTTACTGTCAGTTGGTATACCCCGCTTTTATTCAAACAAACTAATTGAACATTGAGGAAATTAGCTTGTCTTAGCCACGACAAACGGAAAATCCAAAACACAATGTGTTGATGACAACGTTTAGATCTTCTTGGAAGGCCTTCCTCAAGTCGGTTAATCGATTAATCTCACGTTACAAACAGTGAGGTCCGTTTCATTGATGGATCTCGTGTGATTAAACGAATGAACATAAAAATTCGGAATCTTTCAGCCGGTCGATTCCTTCTCCTAAGGAAATCTCTTGCCATTATCTCCGTTCAGCAGTCTCCCTGTTCGGTTAAACAGCTGATGTGATTTTCAAGTTATGCTATCCGATGGAAACAGTTTTTGTTCACACTGGCGAAGTATGCTCTCCGCGGCTAAAAGCTATTAGAAGACAAAAAGAACTAGCCTTCCAGATGCAACAAACAGCTTACTCTGCAAATCAGGACAGAAATCAAAAGACTGAATGCTTCATTCGCAAAGCATGCTCTGGGAGAAATGAAAGACCGTTATGACAAAGGATGAGATTGTTGTGCGGACAGAAGAAACGGACAAGAAAACAAAACCATTGACGTGGACAGCCTTAATACTGCATTCATTTATCCTTCAAATGATCTCCTGTCTCCATACCCGACAGATTACCTATCTACTATAGACCCGGTCACCCATGAGGAGTTCTATTATCTTAGAACCACAAAAATCACGAGTGCAGTTGGTTACGATGGTCTTTCTTCGTTTATGCTCAAATATGGAGCTGGTTCACTCACAGAGCGGTTTGCATCCTTTATTAACAAATCCATTTTCACGTGTTCAATTCCGGAATCCTGGAGACCATTCACTTCTGTTCTTATTCCTAAATCATCTAGCATTTTATCTGAAAGCTTTCGTCCTATCGCCATTACTGCCTCTGGACTTCAACTAGTAGAGCGTGCTATTCTCACTCGCTTGCAATCTGGTATTGTTGTTCCCAATGACTCTTCAGTTTGCGTATAAGCCAAATAAATGCACTTTGGATGCTGTGTCTTCATTGATGCACTTCATTTGCAAATCTTTAGATAATTCTCAAAAATCCGTTCGTTGTGTCTTCCCTGATTATTCTTCCGCTTTTGGTTCCGTTACACGATCTTTTCTTCTCCGAAAGTAACAGTCATTCGGTTGCGCCATCAATTTAATGTTGTGGTTGAAAGTCTATTTCACAAGAAGCACTCAAAGAACGGAAGCAAACGGCACTATTTTTAAACCGTTAGTGAATAATTCTGGAGTCCTTCGGGATGCTGTGCTTCCTCCTTACTTATTTTCGGTTTTCATCAGTGACTTACCCTCTACCACACCAACCAAGTCCTTTAAATACGCTAATGATGTGGTCTTATTTCAGGCCATTTGAAACCAATCTGACAATCATTTTCTGATAGTTTATTTCAAGTGCAATCATTCTCGAACCAATCCGGTCTTCAGTTGAGTGCTTCTAAATGCTCCGAATGAAGTTTTAGTCTTTCCCGATCCTAATATCTCTTTTATCCTTCAATCATGAATCCCGTACCCATCACCAGAACGTATATAATCAAATACTTAGGAATCACCATAGATTGTCATCTGCGGTGGTCCTCTCATATGCTAGCCTGCCTTGGTAGACTGCATCGTTTATCCTTTCAGATACGCAGGCTGCGACAATTTAGAGTGAAGCATGGAACTGTATGTTCTTTTGTTTCTCAATGCATTTTTCCTGTCATACATTATTGTTCGCCCGTTATTTATCCTGGACTACTTAGAAAGGATTTCACTACTCTTCGTCGCGGTTTGGTAATTATCCACCGTGTTTCTCTTATTCCTTTAAACACACTAATCACCTCGTATGAATTTCGTCCATAAGATAATTAACGACCCCAGTCATCCGCTCAATCCCGTTATATCTGCCTTCCGTTCCCACGCTACAACCGGATCCTATTATCGCTGCTAACCCTCACGCATAAACATTTATCGCAAATCAACGGTTCCCTATCTAGCTCGTATTCTAACTGAAAAGTTGAAGATTCGAAAGGAACCTACAAAGACAAACTCCTGTTTAAGTTTTGTCATTGTTGTATTCCATTTCATTTTTTCCCTTGTAACGGTGAACACGTTTTTTTACGGAAATGTAGACACAGTTGCCCGCACAAGTCATTACAAGACAGCAAAATACATACTAAGTTGATCTTTCGTCCAAAATTGAAGTCCTAGGCGTAGCCCATCAGCAGAATAATGCGAAACTTCAAAGATAACTCATATGAATCTTTTCCTCCTGAAGGTTCATCTGTTGAATTTGTTCTTTTTTGTTGAAATAGGAGCGAAGTGACAATAAATTTCGGAGATTGTAGGGCATAACTGTCGTTTTTCGAAGTCCATTCTATGGGTTGTCAGATTTCCACGCAAACCCTCATTTTCTTCACAGCCTTTGACTACTCACTGTGTTCGTTTGGGCAGCAACTCACTTGGGTGATAGTGCGCAATTGATTCAAATCGCTTCCATTCACATGCGTTGTACAATAAAATTTGAGACTCAAACGATACCCATCCTATTGAGATCTTGTGCGTGTGTGTGTGTGTGTGTGGCTTGCTATTCCAAGTTTCAGGGCTTAGATCACACAACCATTAACCATGCACTACCGTGTGCCGGCTGTGGTTGGCGTCCTTTGGCTACTCATTTGGATGAACAGTTGGAGAAATACAGGAAAGGGTGAAAGTGTGATCAAAGAGAAAATGTAGAATTTCAGTGGACTAATGTTGCGAAGAAATTGAGAAGATACACGAACGCTACTGTTCACGACACTCAGCCATGCCACTGTGTCGCTAACTATCGGTTACGATCATCCCTAGGTCCCCGGCCAGGGAGTCTAACGGGACCAATGTAACCCAGAGTACTGGGTCTTAGCTTGACCACGTTTGGCTTTACTCCATCCACTACCTGCCTCAGCGAACATCGGACGCCTTGGCAACCTATCTGGTGACATGCGTAACACTTGCCTCAACCAACTTAACCTATGGAGGTTGACCAGTTGCTCCAGTGGGTGACCGCGGTTTCTTAAAACTGCTTCTAACCTCAACATTGCTCATCCGGCTACCCTACCAGATTTGTGAAATGTTGCGTAGACAGCGGTGCCTAAACACCGACAGTCTATCTTTATCCTGTTTCCTTAATGGCTAAGTTTCTGCTTAATATGGCAGAAGTGGTCGAACTGCCGCGGCATACACTCGACCCTTCACATACAGCGGGATGTCACGACGGCGCCACAAATTTCTCAAGTTGGCAAGTGACAACCGAGCCCTCTGTAGGCGAGCTTACAATTAATCCGTGATGCGTCCACCGGGTGAGATGTAGCTTCTCAAATAACAAAATTGATCCACTTGCTCTATTACTTCCCCGTGTTATCATCAGTGGGCAATAGGTTCTGCTGACTACACTTACACTTTTTACACTTTTACACTTTTTTACACTTTTTACTGTTCACTCATTCGAGTGAATTACCCTAAGTAACGATAGTTCTGAATAGAGTTTTGAATTGATTGTATGTCTGTGCGGTAGGATAGCCCAGATACGAATTTTCACTCATCATTCACCAGGTTTGTTTGTGATCGGAGGGCGTGAGAGAGATGGCAGGACCAAACACTGACACAGAATTTGTGTAGCTGTTTGCTTGATGCGATGTCTCATTTTGCTTACCCCAATGGTGGCGTGTTGGTCACATGAATTTGCCATTGATAGTAGATTGCGGACGTTTGAAGCGACAAGTTCAGGTTTCGCACTGAAATGTGTATTGCTTTTTTGGCTTCCCAAATGTTGCATCGTATCACACGGATTCATGTCGTTTCATATATTTTTAATACCAATTGCTTATAAAGCGAATTCACTGAAACGTCTACAGTTCTGTGAGAAAGTAGAAGACCAAGTGATTTTTTGAAAATTACATACCCTTGTTTAATGAACAGCAGAGATAGTAGGCACCATAGTTACGAATAACTTCTCCGTATTTATCGAAATCTGTAACCTTTCCACGGGAAATTGGAGTCGTGAGGCACATAAATCGAGAAATTGAACTGAACGGAAGCGAAACTGTCTGCCAACGAAATCGACAGATAGTGGTAGGGTTTGACTCGTGAACTTCAAGGTTCAAAGTACATCAGTGACAGAGGCCTAAAATGCTTCACTAATTCCGCATAGCCTGCAGGACTTCAATTTGTCGAGAGCTCTCCGTTTACGTTCAATTGCGGGCATATCAGTAATATCTGCCTGTCGCTTGGTACATTCTAATCGAATAGGAACTGATGGGATTATACTTCTATCCTCATTTCTCGGTTATTTTAGGATGAATTAGCCTCTCCCAATCACTCCTCCAACGAGGAGGCAGAGATGGAATCTTTGTCCGATCACCGTTTACGTCGTGTGCCTCGTATGAACTATTCCGGATTCGATGCCGGTATGACGCGTCCACCCAATATGAGGGTGAAGTCAGACAATTCGCCTGATCCTCAATCGAGATCGAACACAATCGATATACTGAAAGCTGGAGATACTTGTTCGGGCAAAGAGTTATCAGGTGCACTAGATCCTATAACGGAAGAAGAGTCCGCGACCGAGGATAGACGATCCGCGCCAACTGTTGAACCTGGTAAGTGTTGTTGGTTTTTTTTATTAATTGAGTGTGAAATGTAGATATTACCGTCAGTTGACTTTTCTGTCATCCGCTTGGTGTTTTGCTATTTCTTTTTACAGGGAAACGTCTTACATCCATGGAAAGTTCTTCTGATTCGGCGGACGAATTTATTCCCTCCAGGTGAGTACAGTCGGTGCTAAAATTTACGCATAACGTCTCCTTCCTCCGGAGCATCTGCACTTTTACACTGCAGTCAAACTTCGTAGCGCAGTCTGATTAGCTTATTGGTTACATTGAGCTTCCTTTGATGTTTTTTAACCTTCATGTTTGGTGTGTTTGTAAATCAGAAGTTTTTATCTAATAATCTCCATAACTATAATGTAACCAAAACAGGCATTATGTTTGCTTGTTTTTGTTCAACTTAGTCGTATTTCATCAAGCATACCTCACTTCGGGGATAGACGAGTGTGCTAGTGACTGAACGAGTAGATCACTTTTCGAATTTTTCTTCTTTTCGCCACCCTAAATGCTTTTGAGGTCAGTAGCACTCACACGAAGCATGTGCAAGAAGACAAACTGAAGGGCAACCCAAACAAGGAATGCACAATCTATCCAGCGCAACTTAGCACCAGACGCAAAATAGCGCACAGCAGTGCTGAAATGAGAACATAAATTGGACGCCAGCAGACGACAAGTACCATATCACAACGTTAGAGAAAAGAAAACATAAATACGAAGCAGGTCCAAGCACAAAGGAGCGAGTAACTCGATAGTCGCGGTTTCCCTCTGGCCTGAAATCACGACACTGTACTACACCGCTACATTCGGTTATTCACGAAAGGTGGAGTTCATGTGACAGCTGTCCCCCGATACTCCTTTATGGTGCAGAGACTTGACCGTTAGGGGAACAGGATAAAAATAGACTGTCGGTGTTTGAGCAGCGTTGTCTACGCCGCATTGCACATATGTGGTAGAAAACCCGGAAAAACTATGTCGACAAAGTTTTGGCATCATGGTCACTCACTAGAGGAAATGCTCGACCTCCATATGTTGTGCATGCCAGTATTGAGGTTGCCATGATATGCGATATTTACCGAAATAGGTAGTGGTTAGACGAAAGTTAAAGGTGGTCAAACGAAAACGTATTATGAGGATATGAAAACCCTGATCAGGGGACTTGGACACGCAGGTCGCGTTAGGCTTCTCGGTTAGGAACCCTTGAGATCAGTCGAATTCATGATTAGGGACACAGGGTGATATGATTGAGTACCGTAAACTGTGGCATTTGTGCATCTACTGATTTTATCCACAACCTTAATCTACCTGAATATCTATTTTCACCGTTATACTGAGTTCAGCTTTCTAGTTTTTCGCTCTACTTCATCCCACTGGGCAACCAAGGCCCACCTCACGAAAGTGCGAATCCTAATGGTACAAAAAATCGAAACTGCAACTGAATACCATGCTCTTGAGGAGCACTGCTAGTCTTCCCTTAGCAGCGAAATCGATGGCACAGATGATGAAAAACGACGAGTTTACTCGATGACTGAGGGGATTCTGATGTACCGATTCACTCGGAGACCAGTTAGCGACAGGAAAATAGGGGTGATCGAAAAAGTCCAAATAAGCGCTAAAAGGTTCACTTTGCAGCACATACCCGTAAGGGTACACTGGAAAAATCAAAACTTTTAGGTAAAATAATTTTTTTACCAAACGTGCGTTTTAACAACAGTCCGGTAAGTTCTCATGATCAGCGTCGTTATCAGATGATAAAGTAGAATTACTGCAACCCATCAGTGATAAGGATCGGAGTGTTGGTCAATATCAAAATCGGTTTATTGCTACTGTATCGAAAAAAACATGAAGATTGTGGGTAAGTGAAAATATAGCATTACTGCGCGGAGGACGGTTCACAGGCCCGGGGTTTTCAAAAGAAAATGGTTAGTTAGACTTGGGAATCGCGGTCGATGGTCGACGATCACCCGGTAACGTCAGTTTGTTGTCGGAGCACCTATTTGGTCAGTGAAAGGAAACTGTAACTACAAGATGCTGACAACCGAAAGCATAATACTAATAATGAAAATGACGTACGTGGGAGTGAACTAACAATCGGTGGTGAATCAGCGATTGCACAAAACCATTCCGCGTTGGAATGCAAAACAGACTGGTAGTCTAAGGCGTAACGTCATCAAGAAGAAATCGTGAAGAAGGGGCTCCGTCGAAACTATGAGGGCAGTTCTTAAATGTCGGGTTTAGAGAAGTAGTAGTAGAAGAAATATCTTTCCTGTCATGAAGTCTAACCCTTGATATAATTGGTCAGTAACCTTGCGGTTAGTTCGCGCACTCAATTTGAAACGCAACAAATCCAGCGTTCGTCCGGATCAGCGATCCACTCGGTTTTGAATTCTGCACAACTTCTGCCAATGGGCTGTATTGAAGGATCTTATTACTTCCGGTTGGCTTTGAATTTTCTAAAGAAAACTACCAAAGTGCCCTTTTCGGATAGCCAATACGATATGGGGAATTTGTTTCATTTGTTGCTGGCTCTGCACACCGCGTTTGTATCCTCAGTCATTGACCTTGTTTTGGTAGTTATAATCGTTGATACCCTTCACTTTTTCTGTCATTCACTGAATCACTGGTTTTCTGTGTAACGATTGCAATAATTGTATTTTGAACTGCAAATTTGTTCTACTTCCACTATAACTCATTTTTTTAAAATAGCGAGTATGGCAAATAGACACGAATGGAAGTGTTTTGACAGCGATTCAAATCTATGAAAACGTTCATACTCCTCATCGTTTTGGGTTGCTTCTTTTTTTGCAATAGAATCACCAAAACCGGAGTCAGTGTTCGGTACTCAATGCGAAACGCGCAGCACTCGCTAGTTTCTGAACCGCAAGAGGAAAGTCCTCTTGCTGCTACTCCACCTGATGATGCTATACCATCGGCGAACCACACTCCAGATGTACTAGCACGCACCAAATCAATCAGTCGTCTGTATTTACTTCCTGTTGTCAAATTGGTTGTCGAGTGGGTCTGTTGTTTTACTGCCAAGCATCCAGAGTTGCTCTTTTCCCCGCCCACTGCTGGTGAAGCTTCTACTGGCCCGAACACAACCGAACGGAATCACGTGTATCAGCCTCCTCATAAGTCTACTAGAACTATAGCGGATATAGCACAAGAATGGTGTGCACAGTTGGCTCACCTGCTTAATGAGCTGTACCCGACAGTGGAGCAAATCGAATCCGAATTCAACAGGTCAGGTTAGTCATACAATTGGTTACCGTTTTAACTCTGCCCGAGGTGATTGGTATGTGAACGTGCCGTCGCACTGGAAATGAGGATTTTGCTATCAACCATTCTCACTAGTCTCGGATAGAACGCGGGAAAAAGGATAACCGTTTAGTGCTTTTTGAAGATTTATGATGATCAAAGCAGGAGATATTTTGAATACATAAACAGGATAAAGATAGACTGTCGGTGTTTAGGCACCGCTGTCTACGCAACATTTCACAAATCTGGTAGGGTAGCCGGATGAGCAATGTTGAGGTTAGAAGCAGTTTTAAGAAACCGCGGTCACCCACTGGAGCAACTGGTCAACCTCCATAGGTTAAGTTGGTTGAGGCAAGTGTTACGCATGTCACCAGATAGGTTGCCAAGGCGTCCGATGTTCGCTGAGGCAGGTAGTGGATGGAGTAAAGCCAAACGTGGTCAAGCCAAGACCTGACATGAGGGTATGAAAACCCTAACCAGGAGAGTGGCTCACATAGGTCCCGTCAGGCTCCCTGGATGGGGACCTCGGAATGATAGTAACCGATGGTTATGGACAGCAGTATGGCTGAGTGTCGTAAACAGTGGCGTTCGTGCATCTTCTCAATTTTTTTGCAACATTAGTCCACTGGAATTCTCCATTTTCTGTTCGACTCCACTTTCAACTTTCCTGTCTCTTTCTCTTTTCATCAAATAGGCACCCGAAGTACAGTTACCAAAACCAGCACACGGTTAATGGTTATTCAAACTGAAATCCAGTGATTTTATTGCAAAGGCATTTTTTCCAGCCACTTGTTTGTAGATTGTGTTTCGCACTGATTAACGGTTGTTCCCACTGACTGATTGATACATTGTCAAATATGTGGGAAGAATGTTTGTCTCGCTCATATTGGCAATCTTTGTTTTTACCGAGCCGTTGATAAAAGCATTGTTGACGTCAAATTCAAGCCTGTTCCGTTTTGACAGCTTTTCGATGTTCCACCTTCTTGATGCCCAGGGAAAGCCCATTGATTCACTTTTATGCAAACATCCGGACTCTGCATACTCAACACCTATCGGTTCTTTTGGATTTATTATCTTCACCTTTCCGGATTCATTTGGGTACCTTGATATCGTTTGTTGTCATGCAACGGTACCATTGCGCTGTGTTGCGTTAATGTAAATGATCCAAGGGAATCAATTTGAGGTCATTTCTTTCTGGCTATGAATGTTTTATGGTCATGCAAAGTCATTGTGTCCCTGATTACTGCAAATCTCTGAAAGCATTGTGTATAACTGTATCACTCGTCTTGTTAGCAATGATCGTAATGCATGTCCATCGAATGCACTGGGATTCGAACGAAGAGTAAGCGGTTGTTGATCCGAAAAACTCTCCGGTCTGAGATCAACAGCTCGCTACGCATCAGTAGTGCATGTAGCAACCCTTGAAGATTCCCATTTTTGAGGACTGTGCTCAATATTTAGCGAGTAGAACATTAACCAGGTTACTGCGAGTGCTTGATTTCATCGTTTTCGTTAAACACCATAGTGTGATGAACAACAGACGGGCTATGCCCCATCTCAACGAAGGCCTACTGTTCAGTGATGGAAACCGGTAACTTAAGCCCCGACACTTGGAACCACGAATCGCACATGGCCGCGTTATGTGCGCCTATACATACATGCTTTTTCAGTGTATTTTTCATAGAATTAAGCCAAATGTTCTATCTATTTTACAACTATTCATCACTACTATTGTTTATCAATGCTGTTTGTTCCTAATCCACACGGCATATTCCTGCAACCCAGAGGAGGGCACATCTGAACCGGAAAGCGTAATTACAAAGTTGCTTTCTCCATTCGGTCGATACGCGCTTCTTCATGAATTGGGCGACCTCGCACGGACCAAGTCACTGTACAGGTGTCACACGGAAACAGATCACGAACTGGCAACGGATAAACCCTTGACAAATGAAAATGTTCCCAGTTCGTCGGAAGGGTTGCGTTATGCGTTGCCTGAGGATTGGCTTCTGCGTGGTCTGGATTTGTTGAGCTCGGTACACGAGCAACTTAATTTCAACAGAGCCACTATTCTGCCCGCCTTTTCGCTTCTTGATGAGGTGATTGTTTATTTTTTCATTCAGCACTTATTTCGTTCTCGTTCTTCATGCATAGGATCTCGTAAAACATTTCTGTTTTGTGGAAGCTATTTTTTTGTTAACAGACAAAAAACATCAGCTCACATCAATGGTAAATTGATTTTATCATTTGACATCAGGAGAATGCACTGAGAAGGTTGCTTAGCCTGGCTACGAAACTTTTGCGAACAATACCTCGAGCTCGCAGAACAAACAAACTTCTGCTTTCCCAGCTACAACCATTCCACATTATTTCCATAAGTGTTAATTTTTATGAATCATTAAAGTGAAGTGTCGATTGGTACCACTCAACTGAGACAATTTTTCCCCTAGTTCCTCTGCATCAATAATCAAAGAGCTGAAATATTAGACTGGGGTGGTACAACTTTACTACACGAATTCTGAAGTGGTGTGATGATGACCTACTTCACTGGACCACCACTCATTTTCGGATACCCCGTGAACAATGTTCTATGCAAATGAGAATGTTCCGTGTGTTGATACAATACGCGATCTTGTCATTTCTGTTCGATGTCATAGCAGCTCCTTTTCGCCGATTGCTTGCTTGCGCACGTTGTTTAGACAACACGAAAATATTCCGAGCACTTTGTTTCGATCAGATCGTCCATTTTCGAAGGGGCAAGCGTCAAATTTGCGACTTTCATTCAAGCTCGATTTTTACATGTGATTTATGCACTCATTCTTCGCTTTTGATTTCCGGTTTTATCCCATTTCGGTACTTCTAAAACAGACTGTTTTGCGCTCGATACGCTTGATGTCGTTGGGTCACAAACTGATGAAATACAGTGATCAGCTAGGTGCAGTGTTCACCGTGGATCTCGCTCGGTCGAAACCTTTCATCGTCCCGGAGTTATCTTCCAGATCCCACGACTTTCATCCGCTCCATCGTCCTCCATCTGGGTCCCATCCAAGTCGTCATGGTCGTGGCCGATTCCCGCATCGCTATCAGCACTCTTCACACTTCTATTACCAACAACAACAACAACAAGGCTGTGGCGAATGGACGGTTAGATCTAGTCGGTGGTCCGCTAAACGTGGTCATTGGTTCGGTCGTGCAGCCAGAGGGCATGGACCTCGTGGACATCCGACATATCTCATGCGCCGGTCAGGTAAAAGTGCCCGTTCAACTGAGTCGTACACGGATCCTCGGAACACAGCCTATCTGAAGCATCCTCAGTGTGGTTTGAAACTGGGATCTACCGCGACACGTGGTGAAGCAAATCTCAATACCAGTCCTACCCGAACGGGGTCTGGCGATGTTGCCAAACAGTCGTCTAACAGTAGTTTGTCTCTGACCGTAGCTGAAACTATACCGGCAAATGAGGAGAGTATGGTAAGAGTATAGAACCACGAGTCCAATTAACACTTCTATGTGTGGAGGTTGCAATGTGCTGAACAACCCGCAGACTATCTCATGGGGTATTTCACACAATCCATCAGTCATTATCTTTGTGATTAACCATCCTTCAAACTCAGTTGTACCTGCTAGCTGTATACTTAAGAAACATCACACTGCAGTTAGGCTCATGACAGCTCATCCGGCAGTCTAACCAGGGTTCGCACCACGGACCCCTCTTGTGAAGGCCATGTCGTACCACTAGGCCAATAATCTCCCACTGGGACTAACACAAATCATCCATTGGGATTTTTTCACGTGTCCTCTTCACTGACAAGTAGTATTCCCGACATCAACATATGGACACAATACACGTACAGTTAACTTCATCAAAATTCTGCCACCACTTCTACAGGAAGGCAAAGTCAACGAAGTAAATAAACGATTGGAATCTCAAGCCACATTTAGTCCTCAGTTTAAATGTGCATCTATCTAAAAGGTTATCCAAAACCATCAAACCAATAGGTAAACAGTGAACAAATAGATTAGAGCTAAAGTATCCCCAAGCCTCGATGAATTTACCCTTTGTTGTTCGTGAACTTTTTTTGTTGTTGCTTTCGTTTTTGTCAATAAATCCACTTCTTTTCATTCATTGTTATCCGTAATGGCGCAAATCAATTACACACGGTGGCACCATGATCTCATTTGACTGTAATTGCCACACTTATGTGCGTACATTCACAGAATGATCCGGAATCCCGAAAGACTCAGGTAATGCGGGACATGGCTCGTTTGCGCCTGTTGAACGAGGTGGATCAGTTGACACGACAATTTCAGAACGTTTCCCCACGTGCGCAACCTCCAGACGGTAATGGTTCTGCCGATCACCCGAAGGCAGCATCTGGTGACAATGCTGACGCAGCATCAACACGGACCGATAACTTCGTCTCTCCCTATCTGGTTCTAGACGCCTACTGTTTGACCGGCCATCTACCCGCAGTCAAACAGTTAGTCCAATCCGGGGCGTTTGTTCTCATCATTCCGACAGCCGGTGGGTTATTTCACGTTCTATCTCTTTTGATGTGTGGATTCTTACCTCAATTGTTTTGACAAGTTTGAAGGCTTCGGTCGAGTGTTCAGCGAAATTTGATGAATTTATATAGATTGCATAATTCCTAAGTGCGCAGACCAATAAATATCTACCCCGATGAATTCTTTCAATCCATGATAATTGAAAACTTATCGTAAGGAGTATCCGGACAACAGAGTTCCCGGGCAAACGTGATCTCCCCGCTCATTATATATGTATTTATTTCGCACACGTCTGAGTTCACGCCAATCGGAGTACAGTAATCTTCATAAAAAGAAAATGTTCTATGAGTTGCTGGTGGACGAGATCCTGCCAGGTTTCTCAGATCAGAGCAGGTGAATTTTCGCATGGGATTCACAACTGAGACCTGACCCGCAAGGCAGCTGACCGGTATGTGAAAACCGCGATCCATTTGGGGGGTTAGTGTCCAGTTTGTCGGTGCATATGCGGTCAAGCGTCCAAGCTGTCCAATACACCTGGATGTTCAATTCAACCAATGATCACTGCCAAAACCAGGAATGTGTTTCGTACGCCCTGTCTTGGTTAGCTTAGAATCAGGGTTTTAGCCAACTCCTTTGGGTAACCCGTTTATAGTCCCTCATATCGACTATTCGTCCTCTCACTGAGGTGGGAAACATCTCAACCACAGGAAGCCTACTCGAGGCACTTGGATGAATCGAACCACCCTTGCACTAAACGCAAATCCATGTCTGAAAATCGGTAATAATTGAGTTGGAAACTAGAAACAAGTAGATAAACGTTCTAATGTACTCATAATTGAGACAGGAAAACTGATAGTTGCTGAGATCAAGGAGCACCAGTTCGTAATTGGGCGTTAGATGCTGGAATGCATGAGCGAGGAATCCATAACGGCTCAACGGTATAAGAGTGGATCCTAACCACCGCAGACGCGGTTGGAATTCGTCTACATAGTCCCCCCTTGTGCGCCCAAAAACAATTTGTGAAGTCACTCAACCTCACATGGCCCTCCACTTCACATCCTCATCCTCTGCCACCTCCTCCTCCCCCTCCCAGTTTCACCCCAAATCACACAATAACACGGGCCAAGCTTAAGTTCCCATGGCAGGGTCAGCCATATCCGGTTTTGTGAACTTGGGACAGAAAAAATTACAACAAATCCCAAATTGTTTGTTTTGTTTCCTCTTTTCTATACAAAATTATGTGATATAAAATGTAACGTATTAGCAAGTTGATGAGTCACCGAAAAAAAGTTTTTTCGCCAAACTGCGTTTTTCGTTCAAAAAGTGGATATATTACTCTACATGTTGACCTTGTGGCGAAGCCATCTCCACCTTCAGGTCCGTATGCAACGATATACTGTTCGATATTTTCGATGAGACTCGAATTCAGTTAATTCATGCTCGCATGTTCCATGCTACCGTCACTTTTATCTGTTCTTGCGACTCTTCCACTCGCAGTTGTTGCTCATCTCGACTATCTTAAGAAGTGCATGGCCACGTCCCGTTCGGCGATCCGTTATCTGGAACAGGAAACACATAGCGGAAATCGGTGAGTGTTTTCTGTCACGAGAATTTGTTTGAGCCCCGGGCCCCTAGTCGTTCGTTTCTCTTGTTGATGAACTTTGAACTTTTTTGTTTATCTGGGATCATTTTACTCTGCCACAAAAGGGATAATCATGTAAGTTGTCAAAGTTCACTTATGCTTCTGTGTCCAGAGTTACTCACGAGGCCACGTACCCTCTGTTTTCGATTTCTTATCATGATGATGTGAAAAAGGCGGTGTATTCAATACTCCAATACGTCTGTTTATCATCTCGTGTGCGGTCGTTCAATTTATGTGCTCTCGGTTACAGTGGATTTTCTGTCAAAACTCGTCGTACATTGTCGAGTCATCACTCATTCAACTCAGTTCAGTGTGCTACATTGATTGATATCGCTCTCTTGGATAAATACCCTACGTATTTCACGTTTCCGCCGATCGGCTGTTCGGAGCGAATTCGTCATCTTATTCACGCGTGTTTCACGTGTTCAGGTTTCCACGCATTACCCTCATTGTGATGTCATTTTGAAGGCAATTCTACGTTCTGTCCAACGAGATTCTATTCAGCTCTGTGTGATCATTTCTAAGAGAGCTACGGATATAATTTGTGTCATTCAATTCTGTTCCGTTCTCCATCGCGTCTGCACGTGTCCTTTTCTCCATCGATACGCACCGGTTGCCCTCGGTCATTGTCTTGCACGCGGACTTTTCTCACTGACGTGTGGTTGGCTCAGCCACACCGACTTCGCTTCACTTGACCTTTGTCAATAATCTCCCATCTCGCCGTTCACAGCGCACCGAAAATGGGTC